AAAGAGAAAGAAAAACTATAAAAAAGACACACACACACACACACACACACACACACACACACACACTAAACTAAACTAACACAATAGCATGAAAACAAAACAACATCAGAAGCTCAAAACTATAATAACCCTGTGTTGTTATGTGGTCACATAGGCTATGTGAGAAAATAATAAAAATATAAATTCAAGTTGTCACTTTTCTAAATTTCATTTAATTTCATAATGTCTAATTATGTTTTAATTTATCTTTTTGCATTAAGACAAAAAACTTCAAATGTTTTATGTTTGCCCCTATAAAGAGATTTTGAAAAATATGCTTTTTTCTTTCCATATTAACTCATTGTGGTCTAATGTTGTTGTGGAGACCACTGTCTTCCATTATGTTTACAAACAAAGTTTTCCAAAAATTCTTCCAAACATCATCTTCACAGAAGAAATTAGGTCATGGTTTGTAAGTAACGACATGAAGGTGAGTAAATGATGACAGAATGTTTTGACCGAACTGTCTCGTTAATGTCAGTGAGCTTGATTTCCTGAAGGTCAGTTTAAAGAGTGATCTGCTTTTGACTCACAAACTGGATTCAGCACTCAGTTTTGAACATGATATCAACCTGCAAACTATTTTCAGGCTCGTGATTAACAGCTATGAATAGGCTGTCCAAAGAATAGGTTGTCAAAGATTTTAGAAGAGGAAACTTGTCTCTGTGTGTAGAAATGATCAGCCTCTGTTCAGTGAGGAAAGAATCTAACAGCAGAGTGTAGAGCATCACTACCTGTCATTACTGATGTCAATAATTGCTGCAGAATGACTGAAGAAAACAGCCATCTAGATGAACAGAGAAAGACAATTTAGACATGACTAAACTGGAGTTTTAGACTCAAAACCTTTTTTAAAAAACATACAAAAACAGTATCAATTTATAACACTGGCCTACATGAGAGTAATTGCCCATAACATCCAAATTGACCAACATAACAGTCAAACTTTATACAATTGCCTTGTTCTATAAATGATTTCAAAAGCAATCTCATCAGTGGTTTCTTTTACTCTATATTTGGTTTATCAGTGAACGTATTACGTTAATTCTAGCAGTTGTATGCTTATTTCATAGTGTGTATCGCCTCCTTGTGGATACATGTTATTAATGCAGCTAGATCTTAGGTGGCCTCCTGCGTATTCTACACTAATTTCAGTCTTCTTTTTTTTAGTTCAACACATATTTTGTTGAATTTAGCTGAATAAAATAGAAAGACTAGGTACAAACATCTGACAATAATATTATATGTGACCTGAAAGTGATTAATAAATAAATTGTAAACAGCTGAGACGCAGTAGGCCTACACACGGGATTCGGACAAAGCCTTCAAGGTAAGTAAAAAAAAAAAAATGCTCCGATACACAGAAAAGGAGAACAGTGGCCTTGTTTTTTTCCTTTTCTTTTAAAAGGATGTCAATGGAGAAGAGTTTTCACTCCGCTGAATAAAGTGCATTTGTGGGAAAACAGCTGAGGCCTATCATTTAATGAATCAACAGCATATTGCTTATCTTCAGCATGTTTGCCATCATTCATATTGGATTGGTCTATTTTTAGAATTCACACAAAAAAAAAAAACACAGCACTTCTCATTCATTTCAGTGGTATTCAAAACTGTCGCACTGTGAACTCTGATATCAGTGCTATGATGTGATTCAAGCCAATTGTATCTCCAAAAATAAGACCATCTGATTCAGATGTTCATGCCCATGTGAAGGAATCAGCTGGAATTGGTAGAGGAGAACATGTGAGCTGTAAATCGTAATGTCCTGTGTCTTTCACCTGGTCTGCTGTTCATATTATGGGACTAGGCTTTGTTGGGCCACTCCATGGTTTTAAATGGCGTTTAATGGCAGTGCATGCTCAATTTAGGCGGTGCATGCCTAATTTATCACCTAAAGAGTTAAAGGGGACCTATTATGCAAAAATCACTTTTATAAGGTGTTTGAACACAGTTGTGTGGCCGCAGTATGTGAAAACAACCTGCCTATAATGTTAAAAATCCACCCACTCATTTTTTTATAATACCAATAAATCATAAACAGTCTCTCTGAACGATCAGTTCCAGATTCATCCCTATGTACACGTCACCATAGGGAAAAAGTCCCGCCCAATTGTGATGCTCTCTGCCCTATGAGCATAGACACAGCCCTG